TATGGACTATTACATGGATTAAATATAGTACACCAACTAATAATATTTTATATTATCAAATCTAGATAAGTTTTAACTACTCTAGTAGGTTTAGATTGCAGATAAATCAAAATTTCTAGTTTAGATAGCTTCTAATAGTCTGAGTCTCATTCTTGTAAAATTTTTGTAACTTGGCTCTGACTAGGGAAACCCATAGTGGATTCTCAATACAAAATATTAATAAAAATAAAGGCAAAACTTCACTTTAAAAAAAAAAAAAAAAAAAAGTGGTTATAGATATAAAAACTCAAATTATAAATCACAAACCTTCAATAAAGTCTTTTTTGAAATTTGAATATAAACATCTAATTTCTTTTAATAAAAATTGATTTCTTATTACTAAGTTATTGCAAATTATAACAATGAATTATTTGTGTGATTATAAATTCTTAGGTTAAACAACAATAAATAATAAAATTGTTATAGCAATAGAAAAGATAATAGAAAAAGCAAAAATTCAATAATATAGCAAATAATATTATGAATAATGACAACAAATAGGCATGTATATATGTATATGCATGTCTATCTGTTGCTATTGTTCATGAATTCAACTATATTTTTAATAGTATTTTTCATTATCTAATCTAATTTCCTTAGTTGTTTCGATAAAATCAGGCAAAATGATAATATTTATTAAAAAATTACACATAGTATTAAAAAAAAATGATAATTCTCTAAGCAAAATAGAAGATGCTAAAGATATAATTTATATATATATAAGTTGTCTCTATTGTAATTTGCTGCGATTCTAAATTTATTTTGTATAAAATAAAATGTTTTTGATTATAAAAAGTTCAAATTAAACATCAAAAACATCATATAAATTTTCTTCATTCGTTATGAAAAAAATATCATACAAAGCTTTTTAAAGCTTTCTAAGTTTAATATACACTTATTTTATAAGTCTCTATCAGACTTGTATTAAGAATTTACAAATGCCTATATTTATTATAAGCAGGCAGCTTATTGCAACCCTAGTTCCAATAAACAAAAATTACCAAACAAGGCTCAAGCAGTATAGAAAGAAATAAAAATGAAAATGAAACACTTATTCATAATAAGATCTAATTATATTTAGCAATAGAGCCTAGTACAACTTATTTTTATCATAACTTTATAGTAAACACCAGCTTCAACAGTACTTCTACATCCACATCAACTTCTTCATCTGTTTTATCAATGATTTTATCACATCTACTAAATAATATCGATAATATTGCGAAAAATGCAGTAGGTTAAAAAGATGCAATAGCAAAATCAGTAAAGCAACTCAAAAAATACGTAAATATAAACAAGCAATTAAACTTATTAGTGACTAAAGAATAAAACAAGAATTGTCAATTAAAATTGCAGAAACCTAAATAATTATCCAAGTAAGTGAAAAAAGACTAGGAAAGCTTAAACATCACACAAAAGCTCAAGCAAAACTTAAAGCAAAGAAACAAAAACAGCTCAATAATAAGGGTATTGTTAAATAGTATAATAAACCTGAATGACTATTAGCAGCTATGTTAAATCCAGATCTTTAGAACAATATTTATGATTGTGTTGAATTTGGATCTGCCTATATTAAAAGACAAAAAATAATAATTAAAGTTTGCACTATTAAACATTTGCATAAAGCATTAGAAGAAAAATATAATATCTATCTTTTGTGCCAATGTTTGTCAATATATTTAGAAGCAAGATACAAATATACATTCGCATCTTACTGTTACCACCACTCTGCAAAAGTCAGCTTGGTATCAATAGCAAGAACTAATATAAAACAATATGTCAATGAATACTATTGTTTAATATCTGTTAAAGCAGCTCAAGTTTTTATAGAATATTTGCAGATGATGCTGTTATTATATCCCAAGATAACAAAGCCAAAATCGGTTTAGGTCAGTGTTGTGCATTTTGACTGCCCCAGATTTTTTGTTTTGTTTCATCTTTTTATATCTTGGGATGTCTCGCTAATATTTTAATTTCTTTATATATCTATATCAAAAAAAAAATTAATAAATAAATAAATAATATAATAAATACAAACATATATAAACTTTATTTTTAAAAAAAATTTTTTTCTTAAGAATTAAAAAGATAGATATTATAATAAATTAAGATATTGATTTTTTTTAAAAAAACTAATTTTATCATGAATTTGTTTCAAATGCTCTGTGTAAATGTTTCTGTGATAGGCTATACATTTAAGATCATACAATCAGTAAATAAATCGGTTACTGTTGAAGATCATGATTTTCCAAAGAGAAGCAAGATAAAATTTATACCTTCTATATATCTCCTTATCAACTCTTTTAATTCAGATACTACACTTCACTTTGAACAGCTTGCTATCTTTATTAGGTCTGAATATTTTGTGGATACATCATTATTAACACATATATTCAACTTATTAAGCCTTATTAACAATCAAGAATTTGCTACTATCCTATTAAAAGAGAATAAAGTTAGGCCAATCTAGATTCTTTTTGTTGATAAGGATCTGATGAGAACCCAAAGCATTTTAAAAATATCATTAAATATTGTAACTTATTTCAAACTTTAAATTTTGATTATCTAACTGTTTATACACATACTATATCAAAGTGCTTATAATCCTGTGGAAAGAAGTATGTCTTCTCTTTTAAAAAAGCTTGCTGAAATTACTTTGCCTGTAGATGAATATAATATGCATTTGAATTCTCAAGGAAATGTTGTAAATGAAGAGTTAGTACAGCGTAATTTTGAGTTTTTAGAAAAAAAATTATATAAATTGTAGAGTAGAGATAATATATATGATAAACCTGTGATTAACCAAAGTAGTCAACTATTTAATAATATTGCATCCCAACATAGGAGTGGATTGAGCATTATATCAATATTTATTAGATCTAAAAAAATGAAAAAATTGGCTATGTTGTTATAAATACAGAGCCTCTAATACAGCACTTTTATTGAACCAAAATGATAAATTTCTTTCTTCTATCACCAAAGACAAGAATAGTCATTTCATCGATCCAATACATGCTCTCTAATATTTTGATAATTAAAACCTCTATTATTTGATTACTCATCTTATTTATTTCAAATAAAATACACTAGCAATTATATTATAACAAATGTATTAAGTATTATCTGACCTTAAAGTTTATTGCAAATTATAAATATCATTAGCACCTATCTAAATATGGCTAATTACAAAAGCAAGTTGATGCATCTTTATCAGCAGCTAACTTATTAAACTTTAGAGATACCAAAGATGTTGTTAGTTGTGATCATATATTAGAAAAAGAGTATTCTTACTTGTATGAAGTACAATCTGATAATAAGTAGGAATTTTAGAAGTTAAAATTTACTAATTAGTATTGCAAATTAAAATGAAATCTGATCAAAATAAAACTAAAGACCTCTTATACCTACACTTAGAGCTTATAAAACCCATATATACTCATTTATTAATAAATCTAACCCTAAACCCTACTTCTAATACTAAAAAGAACCTCAAAAAATATCTACAAAAAATTTTAAATTTTCTTTAAAAAACAGAAAAATTTTGTTTTAATCAGATTTTGGTTTAATCTATGATAATTAGTATAGTTTATATTATAAACTTATAAATATATTAAATGGGCTTTTAGCTCAATCTATATAATCTTTGTTAGTATAATCTGTTTTGTGTTTGATAGCGTTTCTTGATAGTTATATTTGTAATCAACCAATAAAAAAATTTGTACTACTATACGAAGCAGAATCATAATTGCAATTAAAACAATTATATATATATAGAATGATATATATATAGTATGTAATTACTAACTAACCCATATATCCATAATAAAAATCATGTGATAAATAGCATGTCCCTTACAAGTACCAGCTGAGAGAAATAGGAAAATATCTAATACTTAGAGTAAAAATTACTAATTCACAATTTTAACAAATAAAGCTGTCTAGTAATCATATTTGTATAACTTAAAATATTTGACTAATTATATAAAATTAATTTAAACTTTTTGAATGAAAATCTTTAAAGCAATTTGGCTTTGTTTTAAAACAATATAATGGTACTTTACACTTAATGCAATAAAGATTGCTTTGTGGTAGATTATTAGAATTAATTGTTATTTTACTACATTAAGCTAAATAATAACAATAAATGCATACTTCTTTTTTTTGGTTTCATTCCACAAAATAGTTGCCCTCTAATAAGCAGATTAAAGCAGTTCAAAATTTTTATTAATGATGATTTGCTTTTCTTTTGTCTAAGTTTGAAATTCTTGAGGTTCTTTTTTTTTCATTATCTAAAGTTTCTCTGATCAAATCCTATATTAAATTAATTCTAAAATCTCTACTTAATATATTCGAATTAGTTACTTTACAATAAAGAATTGTACAATTTACAAGAACAGTATTAAGAATCTAAAAGAATAAAGAAAGATAAGTGCATCTGATTATCAATTAACAGCTGTAATATCCACAAAGTTGATCAGCAATATCAACCCCACCTATATAATAGTTGTAGTCATCAATTATCTGTAGAATCTCTAATTTTTTTTGATATGCATTTTTAAAAACTCAAAATACTGTATTTGTATTAGAACTTGTTTTACAGAATTGCTGCCTATTATAAGTAATCTTTTAGTTTTCACCAACAATTTTATAAATTGTGGTCAGCATAATCACAGATCCATTATCTATACAGAAAACAGTTAAAACATTATTAACAACTTTTTTAAAAAGTGTGTTTCAATCTAATGATATTTTTTTACCAAGTTTTAACTCATTAGAAAACTTGCTGAATTTGTATAAACAGTATCACAAGCTTCAATACTCTTTTTACGTAAATGTTTAAAAAGTAGAATACTGGTAAAATAATTATCTATATATATGTGATACATTTTATTATTAGAAAATATATGCACTAAATACATAACTAAATATTTAATATTATTTATACCAGGAATAGATTCTATCAAATTATTTTTTTTAACTTGTGATATTAATATAAATGCCTAAATATAACCATAATTACATAGAGAAATAATTTTGTACCTTTCTGAAGTTAGCTTATTTTCATCTTTACTACATGAATACTTCGCTTAGAAAAATATACAATCAATTTGTCAATAAATATCTATGAACTAGAAACAAAAAATCTTTTAACTATACTTTAAATATGCAATGTGAATGGTTCTACTTTTAAATATCAATTTGAATAAAGTTGGCTTAGTGCTAAAATATAAAAAAATTGTTTGATTTGTTAGAATCTATATAGGGACATAAACTTTTTAATTTCATAATTTGCTCTTTTATTATTTTGATTCTATAAATCTTCTATCACATTAATATGATAAACCTCTTAGTAGATAATCAGTCTAAGCCAAACTTTTAATTCATTTAAGGTTAACAGAATCCAAACCCGACCACCTTTTCTACTCTTTACTTACTCATATATATTACTATTCTTAACCATTAAATGCAATTATTCATCAATAAAAAATAATTGTAAAAGTGAAAGTAGAAATATAATACCTAGTTAAAAATAATAGTGATTATTAATAGGATTAATTCTAACAATTGTAATTTTGAATTTAACTAGCTACTTTGTTCATTTTTTCTCCTTCTTCTATCCTTCCTACTATCTTTCTCCTTTTCTTTTCCTTTACCTCTACCTCTACCTCTTCTTATCGCATTACTACTTCCAATGTCTACTTCTCTATTTGTTATTTCATCTGATTTTTTTTATATTCATATGCTTCTTTATTGATTTCATTACTATTAATATTGACTAATTTATAGTTGATCATCAATTCTCTATGATGGTTATGTTTAAAAGTGAATAAATATTGCAATTCAAAATCTTCATTAAAGTATATATTATCAAGGATTGTATTATTAAGGGCTGTATCATCAATAGACATAATAACTTTTTTATTTTATTTATTACTTTATTCATTCAATTTTTTAAATGATAAAAAGTAGTGCCAGAATGAATTAAATGAATTTAAAAAAAATTAACATTGCGTTAAAATTTTTTTTTAATAAAAATGAATGTATTTGCGAATTTTATTTTAAAGAATTATAAGAAAATTGAGTTGGTCAGGTTTGTATATTTATATGATAAAATATAAAGTGAAAATACAGACTACTGCACTTTATCTCAACCAGAAACTTGTTATAAAAACAATGTGAAAAAATAATAGTACACAATAAAACAATAGTTTGTAAACTATTTAAAGGTATATATAATAATTCTACAATTACTTCCTTAGATTATTTATATTTTACAAAATGGTTATTTAATTATTTGAATGTAAAAAAAGGCTTTAAATACATCTAAATATTAAGTATTCCTTCATATGTGATAAAGAACAAAAAGAAAAGTAAAGGTTCAAATATATATATATATTTGTATGTATGTACGAATGTATATATATATATATATATACATACAATATATATATTGATAATGAAAACAATAGTAGAGTTTTGCGGTAGTGCTAATTTAGATTCTCATTCATGTATATTTTAAAAAGGCTAATGGATAAATTAATATAGACATATATATATATATAGTATGTACACTAATTTAGATATATTGATCACTAGCATTTATTAACTTTTAAATCATTCTGTACTGTATTCTAGACAAATTTACCTAGAAAATTTATTGTCAAATAATAGTGCAGATTCTTCTGATTATAGAAAATCATTTATTAGGGGTTTTAATTAGTACAGTTTATTGTAATAATAAAATTTATTATATATTTTAAATTTTTCAAGCAAATTTGCCTAGAATACAATTTAAGAAATAAGTATAAATATGCAGTACCCCTATCTAAAACTTTTTTATTAAGTAAATCACTCTTGAGCTTATAACAAAAGTTGTAAAGCTTGATAATCAAGATTGGAAGTAGCCCTTGAGGCTACAAGGCCATATCCCAGAAGTGACTACCAAATTTAGGAGCTTAGATATAAGTAGTATGAGAGATGCAGAAAATGATGTTATAGAGAAGTGTACCAAAATAGGACTAGTGAAAAGTGGAAAAATACTGAGTGAGTACTATCCATAAGGATGTACTACTCCAGTAGGTTTGGATCGCAGATAATGGATCAGTGGCCAGATAGCGGATAGGAACACCTATTGTGCAAGTGATGATTTCGGTCAGAGCATATATAACCAATAAGATCCGGGTTTGAGCTTGGTGTACTTGATATAAGTAAAATACAAAAATGTAGTAATATATGTAATGAAAGTATTAACAATAAATAAAGTCATGGGCAAGATCTTACCTGAACACCAAAAAAAAAAAAAGTTGTAAAGCTTATCAAAATGCATCTAATAGTAGAAAAATATTAAAATTTACCTGATAGTTTTTGAGAAATCTTTAAAAAACTTCTTTTTTATATATAAAATTTTTTTAAAAAAAATTAATTTTTTTTAAAGAAATTTAAAAAAAATCTAAACAGTATACTATGCACTTTGTGCACTTTATAGCAAAATTGAGTTGGCATTAAATATTAGATTAGATTAAGATTAGAATTAGAATTAGGTTTAGAGTTAAGATAAGGGAAAATTTTGAGAGAAATATTTTTGCTTATGTTATATTACAGGAGTTATCTAGTAGAATTTCGAGAAATTAGTAATTTTATATAAATTTTATAGCAAGGTACACAAAGTATAGAGTGCACTATATAGTTTTGTCTAAAATTTTATATTCAAAAAAGAAGTTTTTTTAAAGATTTTTCAAGAACCACAAGCCAATTTTAATATTCTTTTACTATTAAATGTATTTGATAAGCTTTACAACTTTTGTTACAAGCCCAAAAGTAGTTTACTTAATAAAAAAAAGTTTTAGATAGAAGCTCTGCACATTTATACTTATAATAAATTTATATATAAAAAATTTTTGTTCAGATATCTCATAAATTGCCTATTAATAATACTTAAATATATGTATATAATATAATTCTTATTTGTGAAAATTTTAATTAAATTAGATTAAGTTAACAAATAGTACAGCTTTTCATCTTC